CACGCATTTTCCATACAGACTACAATTACATTTTTCGAGCAAATGTGCTTTTGGGATTTTGGATATTATATCCAACTCTTTGGCAAAAATAGTCAATATAGGCCATGCTAGAAGAAGCTGAAGTGATCGTAATATGATATTTGAAGATCTCAGAAGTTTTTGTGTCTATTTTAGAAGGTCCTCATTTTTTTAACAAAAATGTTAGTTCGCTTTTTTAACATTTTTAATATAGGTCCGCGCATTTTACTTACACTTAAGGTCATCGATCAAAGGGTTTGTAATTTGGCACTTATGGTTCTCAATGTATAATAGTGTTGCTTGAATAGCGGTCATACTTCAATTCTGACCCACTATAGGTAGCTCGCATTCAATGTCGCTGCGATTTAGTGTTTCTTCATCCTAAAACAGTTAAAGAAATTCACCTTCTTCAAGAGTGGTCACTCTAATATTAACACTTATGGACTTCTACTTATCTTCTACATACCAGATGCCATACATGCAATTCAGGAAACACTTGGTATAAAGTGAAAAAATCGTGTACACATTCCCCATTTTTACAAAAGACACAAACTCGGAATTATGAAAAAAGAAACTTGTGGAAAAACTACAACAAAACACTACCATAACTCCTCCGTATATGCAACAACAATAACAATCTGGTCAGGTCGAAATGATTCCTGTGCAGGTGTCAAATGCTAAGCGTAACGTAAAAGGCGTTGAAACACAATTTGTGCATGTGAAAAGTCACGTCACCGGCGTCTAAGTCAGATTAGAGAACTTTTTTTTTGGCCTTTCGAAAAGAAATACGTTTTCAAACAAACATTCAGAAGCACACACACACAATCAAACGTGCCCACCTACAAAATAGAAGTATAACTTCAAGATACTTTAACATTGCCATATAACATCATATGCAATAATACTATCCATGATGAAAACGGATGTTGGAAATTTTTCCAACATACCATAACGCCCCACATTACCTGTGAAGATTCTTAAGAGAGCTAACTATTTTTCGATTTTGGCTTTAGATCCAGTTCTGTTTTTGAAGGAAGTATCTATCCTTTTATTTGTTCTATCCGGTTTATTTGTGGAGGCGAAGAAGTGGAGAAGTTTTACTAGCAATTTGTATGGCGACAAGGACGACGACGATGGTGGTGGTGTTGGTGGTTTTGGCGATGTTGTCACCATGAGTTAAGTTTCCCTTGGGGCTACTTGTCGTAAGGATAATAGGACACTTGAAACATGTTGTCCTTTTCTGCACTGCATCTTCGCCAAAAGCGAAGCGTAGTGCACGGCATCTTAATCCTTGAGAAGGTAATAGGCAATGAACAAATAATACCAAAGATGGTGTGGTAAGATGTGGAATGTAAAGATCTATGTTTTGTTTGGCCTTTTGTATTCGGCCATAGACTCTATAGACGTTGGTGTTGAAATGCCTTTAGTGGTGGTGGTCAACACCTAGTATTTATATCGATTACTTAACAAACGGAGCTTGTATTTCGAAAAGTTTTTTCTGTTTGTTTCCTTTCATTCTCTTGTGTTCAATGAAGTTCTTCAAGGGCGTTGTCATCGATAATAATTCAAATCTCAAGTTAAATGATGCAATCCTATTGAGTGGGTTTAGTTAAAAAGGCAAAAAAAAAAGTTTTTCTCTCTTTGTGATTCCATGTTTAAAGGATAAGAAAGGATTACTACGGTACGAGGCAATAGTTGAAAGTTAAATTAAAATATCCCAGAAATCTGATTAGTTAGGCATCTCTTTAGGCATTTACGTTTATGTCTGTGCAGGAAATTAGTTTGCAAAGTGATGGGTGTGAAATTTAATGGAGATTTTTTTTGCCATGGAAGGAAGATAAAGAACTATTAATTATCGCAGACTCAATGCATTGTAATTGAATGTTAATGAGTTTTTTTTTCAAATGATTTGTGCAATATTGAAATTTGTTCATTTTGGAAAATTGATAAAAGACTAGAATTTTCTACACTATGTTTCTGTAGTTGGGAACCTAGGTTACCCAGAGGATAAATATATTTCGAATATAATTTCTAATGTCTTGTCTTGATAAAAAATACGGGTCGCGAACTATTTATTTTTATTAATTTCTCTTTCGAGATGAGCTACATGATCGGAGTTGCAATGAAAAGGAAAGCCAGAGAGATACTACATTCCCACCACTATGCGACGCGTTTCGCCGTTGGTTAAGCGGCTCATCAGGCATATTGGGCAATGTGGCTTACAAATGTCTTTATTTGATACGTTGTATTTATGTCGACTATTGTTGCGAAATTGCATCTATGAATTAAATTCAACAGTGTCAAGGTTCGGACATTTGGCATCACACCAGAATATTCCTTTCCAGCGCAGATTTTTCTTGTAGTGACGGACTTCTTTTCCATACAGACTACAATATTTTTCTTCAATGGTATGCAACTGCATATTGTGCAACCTTAGGAAGGAAGGCGGCTTTAAAGGCTAAGTCGCCGGACAACAATCAACAGATGCCATGGGAACCAGGGTTCAAATCCCAGCCCAGCTACAAACTCATGGGGCCACCCAGCCGGGCTCATGGGTGGCCCCATGAGTTTGTAGCGCCTTTCAGCATACCGATCGCCATATCTCGACTAGCTGAGCCGATCTAGAAATGAGCGACCGTCTGTCCATTATAATTCGAAAACACGATACATGCCACAGTTATGGACTAATCGTCACGAAGACTCTTATTGTTTTTGGTAATGATCGGTTAATGTTTAAAGGATGAAATTTTTGTTTTCTGGTTGCTCCAGAGGCCACAATTATGAGCAGAACCCAAACGAAATTTTACACAGTTTTGATAAAGATTTGAAATTTTGTATTTTATTGCGTATATATTTACTCTGAAGCACACAGAGCGGATATGTTGACAGTATATCCAAGAAAGTGACTAACCTTTAAATGTATACCAATTATGTAGTTATATGTACTCGGATGTGAAAGTTATATGTAAATGTCTACAGGGATGTACCTGTTATAAAATTTTTATACTCTTCACCACACTGTGGTACAGGGTATTATGTCTTCGTACATATCCTTGTAACAGCAAAAGGAAGCGAGATAGACACATGGTTCCTTTTGAGAATATGCATAGAATCACTTTCTAAGTCGATTTATGCATGTCTGTCCGTATGTCCATGTTAAAGTGTAAACAAAGTCCAGGTCGCATTGATGATCTGAATTGGATGGAATTTGGCATAGGTCATTTATTTGGACAAACCTTATTGAAATTGAAAAATCGGTTCAGATTTAGATATAGCTCCCATGTATTTTTGTCCGATTTAAAGTAAATGGTGTACCCAAGTCCCTATATATCTTTCGATTTGCAGTAAATTTGGCATAGCGTACTGAATAAAGTCTAGAACGGTGTGTGTTAAGTTTCGTGAGAATCGGTTCAGATTTATATATAGCTCCCATATTTATTTTCGTGTTTTAAGTTTCGTGAAAATCGGTTCAGATTTATATATAGCTCCCATATATATTTGCGTCCGATTTAATGTAAATGGTGCACCAAAGTCCATATATACCCTTCGATTTGCACGAAATTTGACCCCAGCGTAATGAATTAGGTCAACAATGGTTTGTGTTAAGTTTCCTGAAAATCGGTTCAGATTTAGATATAGCTCCCATATATATGGTCGTCCGATTTAATGTAAATGGTGTACCAAAGTCACAATATATCTTTCGATTTGCACAAAATTGGGCATGTCGTACTGAATTAAGTCTAGAATAATGTGTGCTAAGTTTCGTGGAAATCGGTTCTGATTTAGATGTATCTCCTATATATTTTTTCTTCCGATTTTTTTGTAAATTGTGCACCAAAGAAGCAAAGATTGTCAGATTGCCACAAAATTTTGTATAATGAACTGACGTTAATATAAATTAATCTCTGGCAAGTTTGGTTGAAATCGGTTCAGATTTAGATATAGGTGCACTAATATCTAAATCTGAACCGAAACCCCTCAAAATACCGAAAACTGGGAGGTACTGTTCTATTACAACTATACCATAACAAGGATACATTTGCCCCATTTGCAATACCAAAAATTCTAGGAGTAATATCAATGTCAGTGCAAAATTATTAAAGCTCAATCTTGAATATTGTGAACTCTATGGTGATTTCAACTGACAGACAGACATTGCTAAATCGACATAAGAAATATAAAATTCTATGATATAGCTGAGGATGTTTATAAAAAATATATCAAAATACTCGCTTTTACCTACGAAGATTCTCCACAACATTTTCTTAAAAGTCGATGCTTATTCCCGTTGAAATTCCGTCAAATTTTGAAGGACTATAGAATACAAAAATTATCTTAAAAAAATGGAACTTCTGGTCCTGAATTGAAAAAATCTTTTACCAATCCATTCTAATGACCCTGAAGGTTCCTTAAAGAAATCTGTTAAAAATCATTTCATATATTTTTCTGAAAAATGCTTATGACACTGAAAAATCAGTAGGACAATTAAAAAACAAAAACAAATATTTATAAAATTTCCGTCTTGTAACATGGAAATTAAAGTATGTATCCGGAGCCTAATTTTTTGTTTTCAGCTAATCGGTTCCCATAATATTGGCATTGAAGCCCTTTGGTATTTAGATTTTTCTATCTACGAAGGTCCAAATTCTATAAATATCTATCCCAAATAATAGCCTATATCCTGTCAATTTTCATCTTACCATATTTGATTTAAAATTGTCGATTTGTCCATGATCTCATTTGCTTTATCCAAAGTTCAATGCAATATGTAGACTAAAAGAATACTGTGATCCCATTCTACCCCTTCAAATTGCCGATACCATACAAATTCTTTTAGTATTAACGCAAAAAAAAATAATTTACTTTCACAATTAAGATAAAGTGGTAAGACAGTTCCTATCCTACCAAAAACATAGTTTTTTTCATATATTAGTCATTTCTTCTTTTTTAAATGTTATAATAAAAATCAACATTTTACTTACCACCATATTATTAATTGTAAATTTAAGCTCGGCTCTAGGTCTGGAAGGAGGTGTACTACAATTAGCTCTTAAAATATCACCAGGTTCATAGCGAGTTTGTTCTGTAAACAATAATGGACGTTTGTCGGGAAGTTCTGAAAGTAAAAGAATACAAAATATTAAATACTCGTATTGATTTCTAAATATTCTAATTAATTCTACTTGAGTTATTTAAAACAATAAAAAGTTGCTCATTTCGGACATGTCCAGCCCTTATATTCTCCACCATGAGTTGGTCCTTCATAAAAAAAAAACTTTTAATCTGTGGGGAGCCTGTATCAAAACACCTGCCTAATCCACTGTGACCAAAGACCAAATAGGAAAGGAGACTTAAGCCTTCAAAATACCGAAAATAAGCCGATACACTGATTCATCGGTTAGAAAATGTGCCTGAAATATCTATGCTAAATATCTAAGTGTCTTTGTTTCGATTTTAAAAGACAGGTAGACAGATGGGTAGGTGGACATGACTAATAAGATATTGAATATTACTTTGATACATGGTTTATTCCGCAAATATTTTACGGCGCTCCAAACAGTATCACAAAAAAAAATAAGTATACCCTCCATTTAATTGGTGGTCTATTGCGGTTTGTCATAATAAAAACCCATCAGTTTTTTGCTCTCCTACGCAAAATTTTATGGCTGAACTCAACAAATTAGATTTTTTAACCACACAAATTAAGTTGCCCTAATGTCAAATGACACACTCACACCCACCGAAAAAAAATAGATAAATGTTTGTGGCCAAAATAATTAATAAAATAAATGAAATGAAATTGTGCTCGAAACCCCCACTAATCTTATGATATTAATTTAATACCAAAGACCCGCAAAACATTATGTGTAATTATAGTTAATGAATTTAAAAAGAATTAACAAATAGAAAAATGAGAACAGAAATTCCCGTTAGTTTCCAGAAAAGAAATATCATCACTAATGCACAATGACAAATCTAATTATCCCAAAAGTACGTACGTACGAATGAACGAACAAAAAAACAGTGCAACATGATGAAGAAAAATCAAGCCAACCTACTGGGATGAGTGACAAAAACAGAAGTTCAAATATACTCAGGCGGCATGGTGACAAAAACACAGAAAAAAGAAAATAATAAATGCTAAAACAAAGCATGACCGACCACCACTAAACTAAAACCATGGCTGCATAACCAACGCCCCAAGTCCCCAAACTAAGGCGACAGGCGAGTTGGTTTGCCATTGTCACAGAAGGCAATGGACATATTTAGGATAAGTAAATAAAACAATTATGCCCAACTTGAACAAGAAGATGTATGTAAGCTTGGCTGTGTGTGTGCAAATGTCTCCAAATGCGTGTGTCTGAGGGCCTGTGACACACAAGTTTTGCCATCCACAGCCTTATGTCTGTATTGTAAGAGCATAACAAACAAGCATATTGTTTTACGCACTAACAGCTCTCTATGTCCTTTTGTATGGTGTGTGTCAGTGTGTGTGGTGGTATGATGGAGTATGAGCTACATATGTCTTTACATGTATTATAGGCATACTCAAGCACCATATATATGGCCATGTAATAGCATATGGTTATTGAATTATGATTTATTATCATCAGATTTTTATGAAATGGAAACATTTTTGCAATTACAATTCCCAGTGGATTTCTTTTGCCCCCAAATGATAATTAGCAACGAATATTAAATTATTTAAATAAGTTAAATTTTCCCACCTAAGATCCTAATTCAATTACCCCAGATTGTATTTACACTGTGCAGTATATAATTTTGTTAAATGCCAAAAAATAGTATGCCAACAATTCCGTATGCTTAACATCCGGTGTCTTTTGCCCCCACTACCATTTTTACCGGTTCTTCATAAAACAACCAAAGACTATGTGACAAAAACAAATATGAGTTAAGCTAACGAAACAATGGACATATGCCAAAAGTAAAGAAACAACAAAAACAACAATCTCAGTTATAGTAAATTAGACTTTAACACCATGAGGGGAAGACACACATACGCACACTTACACATAAACTACTTCAAATAATAATAGTAGTGCTCGGAAAAAGTATGTAGGTTTAAGCTTTACTATATCTACACGGTAAATATATCAAAAACTTAATATACGCACAATATTACACGTGGGAAGATGGATATTAAAGTGTCTATTAAATTATAGAACATCAATTACCGTATGAAGTAGCATTAGTTATGTGTAACGCTATGTAATTAATAACTTATTAATTTAGTTTTCTTTGCAGTTTTTTCTTTTCTTTTGAGATAAATAAAAGTTGTCCAGAATAGAATATGTTTGGAGGAGAATGGAATATGGTACTGTAATATCCACTACATACATACATATTAAAGCACAAACTTTACAATAATTTGTAGCTAGTGTTTTGGATAGGGAATCCTGTATTCATTTATGACTTTTAGGAAGCTAAAAACGTATATCGCGGAAAATCGGGAAATATCTCCCTCGCGAGAAAGACTCCAACTATTGTTTGCAGTTGTTATACCCTTCACCACACTGTGGTACAGGGTATTATGCTTTGTGCATATGTTTGTAACAGGCAAAAGGAAACGAGATAAACAACCATGTTCCTTTTTAGAATATGCATAGAATCACTTTTTAAGTCGATTTATGCATGTATGTCCGTCCGTCTGTCCATCTGTCTGTCCATGTATTTTTGTGAACAAAGTACAGGTCACATTAATGATCCGATTTGGATGAAATTTGGCATAGGTCACTTATTTGGCCCAAGGACGAACCCTATTGAAATTGGGAAAAATCTGTCCAGATTTAGATATAGCTCCCACATATATTTTCGTCCGATTTAAGGTAAATCGTGTACCCCCCATTCTCTGGGTCAAAAATTTTGTTGATATAATTCGAATCTACACTAATTAAAGAATGTCCCTACAAAATTTCAAATGAAAATCTAAAGAACTCTTGAAGATATAGCCGATTTATTGTGTCAGCATCAAGTGACGGCTAAAGGGCTTCTCAAACTTTAAACGCGTTTTTCTCTAAACATTTTTTTGCGAATGGCGGGCACGATAATTTCAAAAACTAATAACCCAATCGATTTCAATTTTTTACACGTTTCTCTGTGAGTGTATAGCTATCGTATGAACTAGGATAAAGATAATCGGTGAAGATCTTCCTTATTTTTTAACTTGGTTTTTGGTCAAAAATCGGCGATTTTCCAAAAATATTTTTTCAAAGGTCCGCCATTTTGTTAATTTTAGAGCGAAGTCAATAATCCTAGTTCATACGAGAGCCAGACATGTACTCTTTCTAACACCGTTGGAATTTTCGGATTCCGATGTTCCAGTGAGGAGTTATCATGCCCGCCATCAAAAATAAGGACTTTTCTTTAATTACAAAAAACAACAACAAAACAATAACAAAAATTGTTTGTAAATTATTTTTCTTCTATATTAAATCTTCAATTATATATGTGTAAAGTTACAAACCTTAACAAGCATTGGTATTGTTTTACCAGCCCATAGAAAATCTTGAAAAATTAAAATCGAGAATGGGTGGGGTCCCCTTACATTAATTTACATAATTTTGTCCTATTGTAAGAAGCAACTCTATATCTGACCAAAATTTATAGGTTGCAATAAGACCTGTTTAATTTCATATTAATGGCCCTTCAAAATGCGACGTCTGTTAGGCTTCCATCTGTTGAATATACCCAAAGTGGTGAAGAGCATCATATAGTCGGCCCCGTCCGACTTTACTACTTTCCTTACTGGTTTCTTTTCTTTTGAGATAAATAAGAGTTTTCCAGAATAGAATATGTTTGGAGGAGAATGAAATATAGTACTGTAATATCCACTACATACACTTATACAATTTACAAATTAAAGCAAAAACTTTAAAATCATTTGTAGCTAGTGTTTTGGATAAGGAATCCTGCCTTAATTTATACTTTATGATTTTTACGAAGTTAAAAAAGTATATTGCGGGAAATCGGGAAATATCTCCCTCGTGAGAAAGACTCCAACGATAGTTTGCAGTTGTTAGTTAATTAATTTATTGCATTTTCTATAGGTTGGGTTTAATATCTGCCAGAGCCACAGAGGAAACATAAATATTTCTGCAAAACGTAGAACACGTTAAAATTATCAAGTAAAAAAGAATATGTTCAGCCTAACTGAACTTTTTATACCCTCCACCAGGTTGTAGGTTCTTCATGTTCTAAATAAAAAAAATCTTCCAAATGAAAGACACTCAGTCTGGAAAACTGGTTTACGAACTTCAACTTAATAATTACCGAAATTGAAAGAAGGTTTTTATTTATCAGGGAATCGATATGCCTAATTATAGCCACTTCGATGAGAAAAAAACCAGTAAGGAAAGTAGTAAAGTCGGATTGGGCCGTCTATATGATATCCTTCACCACGTTGGATATATTGTACATATCGACGCCTCCGAACCATAGTATGCTAAGTCTGAAAAGTGAGTTCAGTAGAAGCTTTCAAAGTATGGAAATTTCTTTATTCGTACGTGCCATGCTATGTACATTTTTGCTTATAACTTTGGTTTGGATTGGCCGATGATTACCAAAATTTCAGTGAATTTAAATTAAGGACCGTAGTATCTAAAAACGTAAAACATGCTAAGTCGACTTAGCATACTGTGGTTCGGAGGCGTCGATATTTATCCTTACAATTGCATGCCAATATTCCTTCTATGATAAATTTAATTTCATTTGAGTAGATTTAGAGTCGTCTGCGTACCATGGGAAAAATTTATGGAAAACGATTTACAGCAAAATTGATACACGCTATTCGGTATGCCGCATTGTTAAAAATTTAATTTCAATCAGACATCCGTTCAAAATACATATGGAAGCTATGGCTGCATCTGCACCAATTTCAACAAACCGCAATAACGCCATTCAAGTGTCAATTTGATACGTTGTGCAAAATTTCGTGTTAATCGGAAAATTAGGAGTTTGGTGCACCATTTATGTAAAATCGGACGAATATGTATATGTGGGAGCTATATCTAAATCTTAACCGATTTTTCCGAAACTTACCACATACCATTATAGACTAAATTCAGAACGCTATGTCCGATTTGGTGCAAATCGAAA